GAAACAGTCTTGAAATTTATCATTACAACCATTATGTCCAGATGTGTTTAAAGGAATTTGTTATAATTTCCAGTGTGCTTATTTTGTGTAATTTCCTCAAGGTCACATAAATGCATGGTATTATTACTTTTTTTACTTTTTAGTGTGGTATATATACTCATACCCCCTCCCCATCCCAACCCCACACACACCCCACGCCCCCATTCCACACACCCCTCCAATAAAAGAAATTGAAGGGGTGACAACCATTATTGGCATGAGTATATTAAAATTATATATATGGTATATGAATTCCAATGAGTATTCTTACAAGAACTGTCGGTTATACATTTTCATTGCATATTTTAATTATTTGATGCCTTCACGCGAATGCTTTACAGCATACAATGGGTCTTGTCTTCACTAAAAACTTATGATTTTACTTTCGCTGGAGAAAAAAACATCACAGGCAAATGCCAGATTGGACGTCGGAGCTTGCGACAAAATCGCACATGAAATTGTGAGGTACATGTATAAAGCACCATAAGTAACAATAGGAATGTTAATAACACAAAATGAATGTACGAGATACGTGTATATAGCAACGCGAGAAACGTCATTTCACATAACAAAATGATGAGCTACATGTGTACAGTAACACAAATATGAAATTGCAGAGGAGAAAACAAATATCACGGTAGATGTATATTGCAATATATATATACACATGCACTTCGAGTCTTTCTGAACGCGTCCTCGATTCTTTAAATTTGCAGATCGTCGTATTTTTATGCAGTTTCTATGCTTTCTATTCCGCATCGCTGTGTTTGTATGCACAGTCACCTCTTAATGTGTATATTTCAATGCTTTTCTGCGCAATTCAGATTTTTTTTCTGGTAGGCCTGTAATACCATTACTGTTTACTATTGATCCGGGGCAGTGGGGCATTTCTGGTGTTCCCCTCAGTGATATTGCTGGAATATTGCTAAAAGCGGCGTAAAACTATCTCACTCACTAATATTGATCCATACACGCATGCTACACTTATGCCGGAATGAACTATACACTTAATAACTTAAGATTATATAAATGGATTATACGCTATAAAATTCCCGTCCTGTTGTATCGATAACCCAATATGAAAGTTGCCTCGATATGAAACAGTGGAATGTCAGTATTTACTCGAAAGGTGGACAATTCAATCTACGCTTGGATGTTGCAAGGAAAGAAGCTTATTTGTCTTTTCGCTTTTCCGCTGTTTTCTTTCCTTTCTTGAGAAAATGCATGCCAAGTTGCAAGGAACAGCGGCAGTGGTAGGGCGTAATCGTCCTTTACATAGACTAATGAGGCAACACTTGTCAGGAAACAGGAAAACGGATTGGCGATGTTGTGTATTTACCAGCGGTACACAACGGTTCGTAAATCTACGTCGTCCGAAGGTTCAGCGCTTGTTTACATCATCATGATTCCATGTCTAAATAATGCTGATCATTACCGGTGCCATTAACATCGCTTGGCATAGTTGAAATATTTTAAAGGTCACTACTATCGTCAATAAAAAGTCGCAAGAAGGGCACAATGATGAACTGTTGGTAGATACAGCCAGCCGGCTAGTGCTTTACCACGGGGAATAGGCATCGTCACGTGTCACTCACGTTCACAAGAGTCACTTGACGTCATAGTCCATTGACATATATCTTGTTTAACGACCCCCTGTGGTGATGGGGGATATCTGATAAGGGGGACGGACCAGGGGGGTGGATGCGCCATCGAATGGGGGACAGTCAAGGCTGTGTTCTTTCTCCGATAATCAGCTTCAGCTATGAGGGATAAGGGCTGATGGAGCTTGGTGAATCCTCGTCCATCTATAACCACTGATTGAGTCGTTTGACATAGTGTCAGAATACACAGACACATATATATGTCAAGTGAAACTAGTTCGTAGCACAGTTAGAGGTCTGGAATTTGACAACGACCTTCAAATAATTCAAAAAATGCAGTAATTACGGATGGTGGTATTAACACAGCCGAGTAGAATAAATGAAGATAACGACAGCCAGTGAATCAGACAGTCGAGGCTGACATTATCGACGTTGTGTTTGCTTCTGTTCAGTTTTGTTATGTTTGTGTGAAGGTCAAGGTCAATCTCCCAATTCAAACAATAACGGTCGCTTGTTGTGAACAAATACAACAATCTAAAGCCACTGTAAACTTCAATGAAACGCTAAACTTTCAAAAAACGTTACAATAACATTTAAATCGAGATGTCGAAGGAAAGTCACAGATTTCCCGTTATCTTTTTTTTAGAAATGCTGTAAACATTATGTTTTTGTTATATACACAAAAGGATTTCAAAAGATTTGGACAAAATGATTATTGCTAACTATTTTTCACAGTTTGAATTCAATTTGAAATAAACATCACCATCTTTTTCCTTCGTTCATCACTTTGTACATTTCATCAAACACTATCACGGCCAAACCTGTCACCTTGACCTTCCAAAATTGATTACATAATCCATAAAGCTGATGAACTTCAATTTATGTTTTTCAGAACGTACATTAGATGCAACAACCTTATTCATAAAAGTTTTCGTACTGGACATGCACAAATATCCCAATTTGTGAATTAAAACGTTGTTTGTTGTTGTTGTTTTCTTTTAAAAGCACGAAATACAGTTGAATTTGCTTTTGAAAAAATAAAGTTCAATGACTTTTCAAATGCCATAATCTCGACAATCAAAGTAATTATATTTTCCCGACCGAACTTATCGAACTCTTGATGATCGTTTCCAACTATGGATAAGCTGGAACATGGATATAGTTTCCACAGAACTCTTTGTGAACAAATTCTCAGTTTACTTTTTGTGTCCGATTGTTATGTTTGTTAATACGATGCTATTATTATGATTTGACTATGTCCAGGCAGAATCCTGCATTTTCCGAATTCATTCTAAAATCATATATATCACATATCACATAATATGTTATGTAGTAGATATCGCGTACAGCTGCAGCTATTTCCCAGCAATATAAGGGCAGCATGTAAACAATTGTGCCATACAATCTGGACCGAACCAAACCAGTGATTGATATCATGAGCATCGTTCCAAGTCTCAGAGTTTTATAACAACAAAGTCAGCGAGCCTGACCACCCGATCCCGTTAGCTTCCTCCAGCAAGCATAGGTTAATGAAGACCAATTCTAAAACCAAAATGTCTTTACGGGTCCGCAAATACAAAACTCCTCGTAAATGCACATTTGTTTCACTACATGGTGGTAGCCTAGTGGTTAAAGCGTTGGCTCCACACGACGACCCGGGTTCGATTCCCAACATGGATACAATGTGTGAAGTCCATTTCTGGTGTCCCCCGCCGTGATATTTCTGGAATATTGCTAAAAGAGGCGTGAAACCACACTCACTCACTCTTCACTCCATGGACAATACCTAACGTATGAAATACTAAGTAGTATAAAAAGTTATTGTATATTTTCTTGGGTGAGATGTAGCGGCATACTGTAGTGCTTCCCATGAACAATGTGATGATTATCAACAATACTAAATATAATTTAAAAATGAAATGTCTATTTAATTATGAAGTGGGGCGTTTCAACTACAATTCAGCTTCCGTAATGATCAATAGTCTATTGTACACAGCCGGTGGCTTTGTGAAGAAGCTCAAACTTGTTCATTTCCCGTTACATCAAAGAAACATGCTTTACTTCCACAGAGCCGGCAGATGAAAGGGTCAGAAATCCATGTGAAACCTGCCATTCGTTTTATCGATGTTGCGATATGTTTTATAAGAAATACTTTCAAAGCCTAAAGATATTGTTTCATTGCATGTTCCGTCTTATCACAGCATGTCTGGAAACACTGAAGACCTTTAACAAAGCCAGGATCTTGTAGCCGCGTCACGTCGTGAATTATACATGCCGGGTAATATACACGCGTCATTATTTTTCAGAGATGTTTTGTTGCAACTTGCATTTTCAAAGATGTACTACCATGTGGATCATTGAATCTCGGTTGATATCGCCAAACACACAAAGGTTTTAAGTTGTGAATCTTCAGTTGTCCTTGTCTCATACAGATTTGCTTACAGGAACTGTAGGCAACTGCAAATGATTTACTAACCATTCCGAGACATTTTCATTGATTTTGCTCAGACAAAAGTAGCTGTGGATGTTTTCATGTCATTGCCCAATTATCATCCAATAACTACTGTCAACGAACAGAATTGAGGTCAGGGTTTGTCAACGTTCCTCAAACTGTGTAGGGGCGGTGGGGTAGCCTAGTGGTTAAAGCGTTGGGTCGTCACGCCGAAGACCCGGGTTCGAGTCCCCACATGGGTACAATGTGTGAAGCCCATTTCTGGTGTCCGCCGCCGTGATGTTGCTGGAATATTGCTAAAAGCGGTGTAAAACCAAACCAGTCAGTCAAACTGTGTACTTGTGATGGAGGCGAAAAGGCTGCAGGTAGTCGAGTAATTCGAATGAGTAGAATTACTCTTAGTATTTGAATGATTCAAACAATAGGGTAAACCATCACTCACTCACTCATTCATGAACCCACGCACTCACTCGCTCACCCACGAACCCACTCACTCACTCAACAGAGGCGAACAGGTACGCGCATCTTTATAAATAAGAACACCTGGTGTCATCACGTATACAATGTAATATATACACGGATGCTCCTGACATAGTCGGACCCATACAATCGTCTCTGCTTGTTAGCACAGATGTTATCAAAATGACTATTGTATATTCAAGCATATAATATGCAGTCAGTGACAAATTTAGATTCGTTTAAATAACACAGCGGATATCCTCAACTCAACTGGTGTGAGATCCGTAAGATAATGCAATGAAAAGACCTACCCACGTGCACTTAACTTTCTTTAAAAGCGACCGGTTGACATTTTTTTGTAACACAGTGTACTTGGTTTTAACATAAAATAGATAGAAGCAAACATGCAAAGTCATTGTAATTGTGTTGTTGATACGGAAGAGTGCTTCAGGGCAAACATATACTTATCTAGCGAGGCGATCGTCAACAAGTACGTGTTAATATAGTGGAAATTGTTTCCTGATCAAGGTAATGATTTCAAGGTGAGTGACTTCCTAGTTGTCATATCATGCTGTTTGTTAACTGCACTGGTGGCCGAACAAAGAGAATTTGTAAAGTCGACCAAAGCATTTCACGAATCCTGAGAACTCTTTCCAAAACATTCATACATCAGAGGCAGAAATATCTTCACAGAAATTTTCCATTTGGACCCGTACAATATGTTCCCATATTTGTAAGCAGTTATTTGTTTTGCCTGTGTTTTATGACGACTGCCACCGTTGGGATAGAGCACAGTGACCTCTTAGCGAGCACCTGGTGTCATCACTTTTTGACAGCGTTTCAGAAACACATCCTCAAGACACCGTCGGTATCGTACAAATCGACAGAAAGTTCCTATGAATGTGGAAATGGTTTTGTAGCTTTAATCACATCAAGAACTAATCCGTAATAACAACATTTGTATATGATTAAGGATAGGTTTGATTGGCTATGGACGATTTAATCAGGGAAACACTAATCCCTAATGGCGGAAGACAAGGTGATGGTATTTGTCCTTTTGCTTTAAGGTCAACATGACATTTATTTATTTACTTCCCTAAAAGTAAAGTCAGTACAGTAACACAACACACAGCACATTCTTATAAAGTTTATAGATACATATATTACCATTCTACTCTTTAAAAAAAGGAACCTATAATGATATAGTACACATCTAATGTGATTGCTTTCAGTAATGTCACTAATAGACTTCTATTTGCAGGCAACATTACCACCCTCTCAGAAACGTCGTTAAAGTAGGGTGTTTCTACTCGACGCATAGTAACAACGATTAATAGGTATGTAGCAACAGATTTGATAACTCGGCAATGACATTAAATAGAAACGACAAACAAGGAATCCGTATCAACTAGTGATGATACAATGTTTTCCCTTACAACGGTGGCACCCGTAACATCAACATGAGTTAAATATTGGATAGATTTACTGAGGATTTACCTTGGATGTTGTGACCAATAAAAGTGCTTGAGCAAGCGCTAATGACGCCTTTTTGAAATCTTAGAAAGATAATGCTTGGCTGTGTCAAAAGTTGTGGAATCCATACCTGGAGTCGAGATGCTAGGATAGTGCTCGACAGGAAAGGACAGCTGATCACTGGAAAGCTTTTTTTCCATATATTTCTTTACACGGCACGGAAACCTCGATTTTTTTATACAAGTGTACCAATTTTATTATGTTTGCTATCATTAGCAGGAAAATTAGCCATGTTCTGCGATATACAAGGACTATTCAAGCAGTCCTGGAAATGTCTATTAATGCTACCAACATATCGGTAGTCCTATACAGTGAGCATTGATGCATATATACGCAACAATCAAGAGCCCAAGGCGACGGCCAGTCGGTCGGATGACGTCCTGCGACCTTGACCTGATTATCGAGGGAGAAAGTAAATCCTGGTTTACCACGGTTCTACAACGCTGCTTGGTTTGAGGCCTTGTCATTCAGACCCCATCACTCATTCAGGACGCTGTGTGGAGACTATTGACGGCTCACACAGCTGATGTCTGACATATACAGCTGCATCGCTGACATTGACGTGGACGTTAACATTAGTTACAGATTCTCCCGCTGTGCGTCTGTATCAGACGCCTACACTCAGCATCTTTGAACTGTTATATACAACGGCCAATCTGGAACTTGATGATATCGACATTGGCATACATGCTTCCTTTCAGGTCACAGTTAGATTCTATTTGAAGTCTAGCTTCAGTGGAACATGCCATAAGGTTCTCAATCCAATCATCTATCATTACAACAGTCTACCTTCAGATAGGTTGGAGCTAATGGTCATGGCAAGGATGACGTACATCAGACGTCCTTGACGTATGGCTTGTGCATCGCAAACTCTATATTCTCGTTATCAGCCAGGGTTGCTATCGGTGAACATATGTGCCTAACTGATATAATTTGTAAACCCTGAAGATATTAATTATCAGTCCTTAGAATAATCTTGGACCAAAAAACAACGGACTACTCATATTGCTAGTCATTCCTTGTGATCATTGTTCCAACTACACCTTCTCATATTGGGCCTGTGAGATCGGAGCTGGTGATCTGGTCAATAAATATCACCCTGTTGTATTTGACAAGTCGGTAATCAACCATCCAGTTGATTTACACCTGTTGGTGGAACGTTCAACCTAACGCTGGTGGTGTTACGGGAGTGCAGGTGGAACAAGCATCACACCTGGTGCATATGTTGTCGTAGCCGAATGTAACAGTGTGAAGCCAAGCCTCAACTTGGTCACATCCTAATATTGACGCCCGGGCCAACTGCTAACACAGAAACATCCTCGCTACTACCGTTTCCTCTAACAACTGTCAACACTGACGGTGGGCCATCCACTTCCCAGCCACAACACCGTGAGAAGACGTGCACGACCCCGCGCATTCATACCTCTCCTCAAGGATTGCACAGGTAAGACAAACTTTAACCTGTGTTTTGTCAAAGGCTGCGTGTGGTTAAAGCTGTATGGAAAGGATTTAGGAACTTTCATCCAAACCTAACTGTAGTCGTTGTCATAACTGTATCGTTTCAAACAAAATTATCTCACTCTTTGTTGGAATTGCTTTCTTTTCGTTGTTACATTTGAACGTTTGAGTTTATATTTCTTAACTATGTAAACGCTGCAGTCGTGATATATCGCCTTGCGTGGTAATACGTCAGTGCCACCTGTTAAACAGTTGTGAAACTATTAGCTCTGTATACATTACAGGGTCTGAAGAAAGACTTAAGACGGGGAACATAGTTACTCTGTTTGCTTTTTATTACATACACTAACATCAATGTCTGTGTTTTACAATGGCGCTTTGTTCAGTGTAATCAGTTCGGTATTTTATAGCCGTCGTGAAGCTCAACTCAGTTCAGGTTTCCTGCTGTAACCTATACATCTGCCCTGAGTGGGGGTGTGTTTGAACATCTTGAAGTCATTAAGATACAGTGGGTTTCGTGTAGCTGTAACACACGAGCTAAGACAATGACCGTGGCCATTACACAACTCAGATACTCACAGATGTGTATATATGTTGCTAACGTCATCTTGGAAATCTCAGTTCATCTTCAACACTGATTATATCAACTTAAGGTCGAAAATTGGATTTGTTTTCTTTTTTGGCGGAACAGCTATAAAATTAATTATTTTCAAAGTGGATTCTGTCTTGTTTGTAAACATTCAATCATTCAATTTTATCAACAAATAACTATAATCATTTACCCTAACACAAACAGTATATGTCCTACATCTGTCGTTAATTATTGAAGGCAAGGTGATGGTATTTGCCCTATTGTTTTCATATAAAGTGACACTTTCTCGTTACTCCCCTATATCAAAACTAATACACATACATGTACATGTAGTGACACAAAAAGTTGTCTTCCAACACACATCTTCCTGTTTACAACTGATAACTTAATGCATGAGGTCACAAAATGAAAACAACGAAAGTCGCTGATTGCAAGTCTTACGTTATCACACCATACGTTATCAGCGTAATTAGCGCCGTTCACATTCCGCTGTATCATCACCAAGTGGTAATTGTCTAGTCACATTCTTCTAGGGGCGGTGGGGTAGCCTAGTGGTTAAAGCATTCGCTCGTCACGCCGAAGACCCGGGTTCGAATCTCCACATGGCTACAATGTGTGAAGCCCATTTCTGGTGTCCCCCGCCGTGATGTTGCTGGAATATTGCTAAAAGCGGCGTAAAACTAAACTCACTCACTCACCTTAGTCAGTCAGTCACATTCTTCCAAACTGTGGCTTAATTTATAACTATACATCGTTATTTTACAAAGTAAATAGTATAAACGTACATGTTCCCCCAAGATGCATTTGTTAGTGATTTTTAATGCATGGCTACTTGTTCTTATGATTACTGTATTTGGCTATGAATAATTTGATGCCAATGACAACTTGTTATAAGGTGACTGAGGTCGTAATTATTGATGGTTATCACAGAACAAAGACTGAGGTTGTGAGCTGTAGGACAGCACTTCCGCTCACCTCTTCCTGTGTTGTGAACAAACACTTCCTGGCTCACGCCCAGGTTTACAAAGTGCTTATTAAGAATGACAGAATTTAACAGGAATCAGTCATGTTACAGTTTGTGCCCAAATACAGTTAAAAACATTAACAATTATGATTTAAAGTCAGCCCTACACAAAACAATAACAGGAAATATTTAAAAAGAAAAACGATAAATTTCATATCATGTTATTATAGAGCACATAAACCATTGTAGATTTACACACATAACTTTATGTTAATAACATAAATTTAATCAAGATTGGAAACTTGGTTGAGCGGATTAAAGAGGTTTCCTGGCATTCTTAAGTCACCGTCACATTCCAATCCAAAATGCTACCTGAATTGAACAAACAACAGTGTAACTGTCGCTGAAACAAATTCAAACTGTGAATATGCTGCATGCTACCGTTCTTTAGAGGACGGTCTCGCTTTAAGACAGGTTGCAAGTATCGTATTCATTGTGACACAGAAACGATGACCATGGTTAGAGGTAAAGATTTGAGGCAGAACCTTTGAAATATTGTCACCGAATGCCTCCACATATGACACGATTTAACCTAAAATATCTTCCCCAACTATGGTTAATCCGTGGCCCTCCTCAACAACAACCCGGGAAGGCCAACGGACTTTCCGACAGCCTTGGAGGGGATTTACTCCGCCTCGTTCCAGCATCTGTGTGCCACATTCCCCCCATCAAGTTCCGCGTTGGGGGAAGAGGCAATGGTCAACACCGCCATGTTTGAACAATCTGAGACTAGTTTGCTCCCCGTGATGTCACGCAGCTGATCACGTCTCTCCGGACAGGGACGTCGTAGTCACTGCTATCATCGTACAAGGTTGAGGATGTCGCGATATCTGGACCATGACGTAGTCGTGTCGATGTCGTCGCTGGTGGCGCTGGTCGGCGTACATGACATGCTTGCGGTGAGCTGGCGGTGACTCACTGGGAACATGACACTATGAAGAACCCACGACTCTTGTCACGGGCCCTGACAAGTCTCTATTGTCTCCATCTGACCTGACTGGGTGCTGTCTTACACCAGATCGCTGACTCAGCACCAGCAGCTCATTGCTTTCTACATCTGGAGCACGCGTGACATACAGATGATCACAAACCACCTTCCACAGGACTTTCAACCTAGTTGGTGCCCGTGATATTCAGCAACCCATGTTTGTTGTAAGAGGCGACTAACGGGATCGGATGGTCAGGCTCGCTGACGTGGTTGACACATGTCATCGGTTCCCAATTCCGTAGATCGATGTCAATGTTGTTGATCACTGGATTGTCTGGTCCAGACTCGATTATTTACAGACCGCCGCCATATAGCTGAAATATTGCTGAGTGCGGCGTAAAACTAAACTCACTCACACACTCACTAGTTGGTGCCCGAACACGAGATGTAGATGAACAGTGAATCTGATGTAATGGGTACTTGTATTACTGAACATGTATGGTGGTTGGATGGTGAGCATGGTGGCCGGATTGGCAGACAAACGGATGGGTGACTGGGTTATTGGGCTGGCTCGAATGACGGGTATGTAGGTACAAGCGTGCCAATAGTCAGTAGTGGATATGGATGGCAGATACATAGAAATGTTACATAGGTAGAGTGGTAGAAATGTAGAAAAGGTTGATGGTAGAGTGTGGATATGGATGATAGACATGTAGAAATGGTTGATAGCTAGAGTCGTGGATATGGATTATAGACATGTAGAAATGGTTGATAGGTAGAGTCGTGGATATGGATGGTAGATATGTAGAAATGTTACATAGGTAGAGTGGTGGATATGGATGGTAGATGTGTAGAAGTGGTAGATAGGTAGAGTGGTGGATATCGATGGTAGATATGTAGAAATGATAGATAGTTAGAGTGGTGGATATGGATGGTAGATATGTAGAAATATTAGATAGGTAGAGCGGTGAAATATGGATGGTAGATATGTAGAAATGTTAGCTAGGTAGAGTTGTGGATATGGATGATAGATATGTAGAAACGTTAGCTAGGTAGAGTTGTGGATATGGATGGTAGATATATATAAATGTTAGCTAGGTAGAGTTGTGGATATGGATGATAGATAGGTAGAAATGGTTAATGGGAGAGTGGTGGATATGGATGATAGATATGTAAAAATGGTAGATAGGTAGAGCGTCGGTCATGAACGGTGTGTATGTACAAATGGATGGTAGTTAGAGTGTTGGAAAGGAAAGGTGTTGAATATAGATGATTGATGGGTAGTGTTGGTAGATATATATGGTAGACAAGCTGATTGATAAGGATGGTATATGAGGGTATTATAGGATCTGATTGTAGATATAGGTAAGCGTAAGGTGATTATTGTGGATGGTATATATGTAAAGATAGCGAATAGATATTGATGGAAGGTAGTTTGGGAAAGAAGTAAGAAGAAGGTAGACAATAGGGAGAGATGTCTGTTACAAATAAAAGCTACAAAACCATTTCTACAATCCTTAAAATATACCATTGTTTAGCGTACGATCCGACTGTATCACGAGAATGTGTTTGGTAATCGCTATCAAATAATAATAAAACCATGTGTCCGCAAAAAGAATAGTGCCTCCTTCTACCTGATGGCATCCATCACAAACACACGCCAAGGCACCTCAAATGTTCATCTCAACAAAACCGGCATCAGAGCAAACGGGGTGTTTGTCCCACAATTCATCAAAAGATGGACAGAGGAGTGAAACGTCCTCAACCACACATAACGTCGTCGACTGTGAAGCTGGGAGATATATACAACACCTGTCATCGCGTCCATTAATTACCACGATTCATAAACAAATATGCTACCTGTGAATGGCTAGTCACGTGTACCTACAGGAGAGCACCTGGGGCAGTTAGTGGGTGCGTGAACGAACTTCATGGAGAGTGCAGCAGCTTTGAGGAGGGGAATGAATGAAAAGTGAGGAAGTTATCATAACAGATTATTTAGTTTACGGGATGGGACAAGATGGCTTCAGGGGACTAAGCAGGTCTTATTTATACACTATGATAAATAATATGGTAGGTTAATTTGGTGCGTTTATAGGGCAAAATCATGTTTATGATACTGAATGATAAAATTACTATGCTATTCATGTTAACTTGAAGGGCTTAGGTTCGAATCCCGGGTGGGACGCAACACAAAAATTTAGCAGAATCTGTCTTACTAAAATGGAATCCTAAATATAACATATATTTGGTGAAGAAATTAATACATATTAAAAGTATTTAGAATTTCTTTAGCTAAGTTCACATATGGAGGGGAGATGTTCTCTAACAATCTTGTAACAGACCTCTAACGTCGACCATTACTGACCCAGAAACTCGCTACTGCTCAAACATATACAATGACCTTGCAATTACCACGGCCCACTTTTGGAGAGTAGCCAT